ATGCAGCAGAGCCTGGTTTTCTTACCGTGCAGTTACTTCCGCTGAATCAAGCTGATTTTCCGCACAGCGCTCTGTTTCTGAGCATTCCAGAGGTGTCACGCTTAAGTGCTACTGGGTGGAAACACGGGTGGAATTTTTGGCCCTGCTCTGGACTTGATGGGAGACATTCTTGGCCGAGGGAAAGCAAAGGGATTTAGCTCTGGCCTGCTTCATGAATTTTAACAGATGTAAAGCAATGAATAAAACATCTTAATGGAGAGCGCTTTTGAGAGAGGGAGGAAGTAAACGCATGGAAAAATATATATTTGAATAGAACACTAGAGTACTGTATAACACACTGTATTCTTCATTCTAATTTTTAAAAACACAATGCATCATTGCAACACTAAACATTTCAAGCAGGAGCATCATGAATTTCTTTCACAAGACCTCATTATGAATTTTTTTTTACTAGAAATGTCTTAAAATGAACAGCATTCGTGACTCATACTTCCATAACTGGACACATCTCTGAGTAAAACAAAAAAAGCAATAACGTGGGAGGGGCTTGATTTTATCCATTAGAAATTGATAAGACAGTGAAAAGTAGGTGTTATGTAGGCCTATAGGTGTACAAAACTTACGTGCCCTTCAAGTCAAGTCATAAATATAGTAATTGTGAGTTCCGAGCACGTGAAGTAAAGTCGTGCGAAACTCAAAATTGTAGATTGCGATGTTGAATCTCAATTTGAAACATAGAAACACTGATCTGTAATACAGACATTATAATATATAAGACAGAGATCAGTGAGCAAAAATCAAGTCTGTAGCAACTGGTATAAAATTTATGAATTTCATGCTTTGCTTTTTGTAACAAAAACTTTTAGTTGTGATATCATGCATAAATGGGTATCATGCATGATGGAAATTATATTTTGAATTATTTTGAATTTCAATGTAGTTTTCTGGGTTCATTGCTCAATATAATTATTTTGTTTAGGCTACTTCCTTGTCATGCTTCCAAATGAAATGTGTGACGTCATAAATTGTAGATTACGATGTTGAATCTCAATTTGAAACATAGAAACACTGATCTGTAATACAGACATTATAATATATAAGACAGAGATCAGTGAGCAAAAGTCAAGTCTGTAGCAACTGGTATAAAATTAATGAATTTCATGCTTTGCTTTTTGTAACAAAAACTTTTAGTTGTGATATCATGCATAAATGGGTATCATGCATGATGGAAATTATATTTTGAATTATTTTGAATTTCAATGTAGTTTTCTGGGTTCATTGCTCAATATAATTATTTTGTTTAGGCTACTTCCTTGTCATGCTTCCAAATGAAATGTGTGACGTCATCATAACAAACATCCGACGAGTTTCCCAGTTGCACTTGAAAGAAGAATTAATCATGGCAAACCATTTTGGACATTCTATAAAATAGCATTAGCAAGATAGCATTAGCCACTGAATTAATCATCTTGCTTCCAGTTAAGACTTTTCTGTAGCATATTGCACATTTTGGCAAATAGTAGGCAAAGAGAGCGTACAGAAAACATCACTCACACAGCTTTCTACAGAAATATTATGAGTAGTATGTTAGCACGCTAATCCAAACATAGCTGGAGGTCTAGAAATACTTCTGTCAGCTTCCTCTTTCCCCCACCGCTCATTGCCAATGCAGGATCTGATTTATGAGTCAGAAAGGAGCACACAGGATTGCCGTCATACAAGCTTACAACAGACATACAGTTTCCTCTCTTGTTGCTAACACCCCCCACTCTCTATTCATCTCCTGTGTGAGAGAGAGAGACTGACAGAGAGCATAAAGCTAGCCTCATAGCATGTTAGCAGTTGTGTGTTCACAAACTGTGGTAAATCATTGTCAAAACATGATACTTTTCATCTAAAGACACCAACTGATATCGGTCGACTTTGTGTCATTTGCTGTTTAGCGTGGGTGCAGATGTACAGAGCCTTTCACACGGACTGTACTATCATATAGACAGTCCCGCTCCTTCTTTCCTTTCACAGAGTACAGTAAAACGAGTCAACGGGGAAATAAAACCATTAGCCTTTCACCTCTCCGCAACAATAGCAAGGTCGCAAACAGACAGCTGCAGCTTGTATGAAGTCCGACTTCAATATCCCCCTGTGTGCGGCGAGGTCCCCCTCCTTCCACGTCTCTCAGATACGGTCTCTTCCTACAACCGACTTCAAACATCTCAATTACCCTCGGCGTGATGGGAAATATGCTAATGCGTAGCACTATCGCTCGCTTGCTGGGAGCTCACCACAGCCCTGCGGTTAGTTTGTTCTGAGTGAGCTCGAAAAATTGGTGCAATCCCTCGCCTTCCAGACTTCCTCATCCCTCGATTCCCGTGTATAAAGCAAGATCCCATGCATGTGTAACGTAATCATGCTAAGTGCCTATAGAGGTTGAGACCGTTGCCTCTATTAAAGTCGGTCCCTTTAAATGTGCCACCTGAGAAATGTGTGAAATCGGCAAAATGGGAAAGAGGCCTCTGAAGAAAATGACGCTCAGCTGGAAATGGAAGAGAGTAGAGCCTTGCTGATTTGCTGTTACTATTGTTTATACTTACGGTAAAGTCTTTGAACAACCCCCTAAACCTAACTATTAGGTAATTTTTGGCGTGTAACTTATTCTGAATGATAACTCAATCATTTCCGCACAATTGCAGCAAAAATTTGTATGCTTAATCATGATTTTACAGAGACAGACTGTACATTTTACATTTTTAGCAGTATGCTAGCATATAAATGCTAACGAAGCTAGCAGACACAACCTAAATGGGTTTCACAAGGTCTTTATGATGCCATATGAAAGCCTGTTTCCATCTAAAGTTTTTTTTTTTTTAGTAAAAATAATTATAAAGGTAACTGAGTTTAAAATACTCACACTGTGACATAGTTGTGAAAGTCACAATTGCAAGATGGACAATTGTGAACGTTATATTGGACAATGTGACTTTACTCTTGCAATTGTGACTATTTCTTGCAGCTTTATAAAGTTGTAATTTTGAGATATAAAATCATAATTTCCTAATTTTGTATTTATTTTAAGGTGAAAACACGTTTCAATAATTAACCAAGATTAATAAAATGATCACAACACCATTGTCTTTTTTATCTGTATTTTAATAGGACAATGAATTAATTCTATTTATTCATAGACACTGCACCGGACTAAACAACTGGTTTGCATTTTTTTTTTCATCGTTTTGTAATAATTCATGTATTGTAATGTCCATAACACAAGCTGTAACAAATTCCAAAGGACCATCGTCACCTGGTAGCCATTTAAATGTACATTATATAACAAACAGGAAGTCTGTTTTAAAAGTCCCTTGTGGATCCTGAAAAAAGAAAACAAAAACAAAAAAGAAAAGAAACGCACACGTTCTCTGTGAGTCTGTGAGCACATGCACTCAATCAATCCTGTCCTCCAAATGGGGGAAAAATAAAAATGTCCAAACCTAAACAGATGGTCCAGCCTTTCCGGTCGTTGATTTAGAAAGTAAAATGTGAGACATTAAATTTTCTGTCTACTGAAATTAGGAGAAAATTAGAAACTGTAATAAATTTCACTACACCGAAGAACAAATTTACAGCACAGGTGCACTAGCAACAATCTCTCATAGTTTTCATCTTTTCTTTTTTTTTTGTGTATTTTACAACTGAAATTCATTTATAATATATAATCAACACCCATTTGAGTTTTAAAAATATGCATTTGTGAGATTCTATTCCCCCGGTAACCCTTTTAATACAAAGCATATCTTTACAAAAAGAATCTTGTTGCATAAGTCACATGGTAAAGCAAGAATAGGTGCAGGCATTGTGCAGGAGGGCAGTGGTGTGTGTGTGTGTGTGTGTGTGCATTGAGCAAGGCGCATTAAGAGCTCCTCACCAAAAATTGCACTGACATTGGTATAAAAAAATATCAACATTATAGACTATTTTCTTGCCAATTCCAGACATTAAATGGCAGAGAAGAGAGAATTCATCTTTCAGGTGCAGAAATTTTTTAACACTTTTTAATTAATAATAATACATTTTGAATGAATCTCGCAGACATATTTCTGCCCAAAATCAAAATAAACTATATTTTGCTTACACAGTCTAAACAGATTCTGTGCATTATTTTCAGGACAATTAAGCACAACACCTCCAAAAGTGTCATTTCTGTAATGCCAAAATACAATTTTCATTACTTTAATGGCATAATTTACATTTCTGAAGTATTTTTACAATCATTATGAAGCATTATACATTTGCTTTGAAAAAATACTGTATTGCAGTAATGAAAATTGAGAATGAGAAATACAAAGAACTAAAACATATGGTAATGAGACTTTGCGTGGAGTGGAGTGTGCTTAATTATCATTCAAATCTTTTTTAAATTTTATTTTTTTTAACTATTTTATGTAAAATGTCATTTATTCTCTTTTGATTTTGAAGTGAAACAAACCTGAATGTGAGATTCACGTTTTTAAGTTCAACCCTAAGCATGTTCGGCTGATCACAATGATATAATAATCTCCAAAACAGTACTCCAAAACAATCTGATTGGATGATTCTCAATGTGTCATCACACACAACTTGATACCATTATCCAGAAATAATAGACAGATATAAGAATGTTTGCTGATAAAAGTACATCTTTAAAGGGAAGGAAGAAAAAAATTCCTGGACGGGCTCTATGCTCTGGTCCAAGTTGGCCCGTTTCATTATATGTACGACAACATGCACAATAATTTTAACGAAGATAATAAATAAGCACGTTATTTTTCTTTTCATAGTTAACTCGCAAACTTTGGAGTATAAAACGGAATGGCTAGTATTAGAGCTCAAGTCCACAATCCTCCACTGTCAGTTTGAGAAAGTCAAATATATTGAAACACAAAAGGAGTTTCCTTTTCGGTTTAGTTTTTTGCCACAAAAAAAAAAGAAAAAAAAAGAAGAAGAATAACAAACATCTCATCAGGCCAGGCAAGGAATGAACACAACATGGGTGGGACAGAGAGAGTGTGAGACGAGATTTTCTTTGTTTATCACCTGTATCATCAGGTTAATCTCTCAAAACAGCTGTTTTTACACACTCGTTGGGTTGGAAAGATCAATACTATATAACTAGGCAAAAGTAAAAAGCACACATTCTGACAGAAAGAGCCAATCCTTATTGCTCATGCCGAATTGAAAAAAAGACAAAGACTTATGCAAAACATGCAAGAGATCGGTCTCGATCACACACGCACGCAAAAGCATCCGACAGCACACCCTAGTAGAGCCCAGCTTTACTTTGTAGTATCAAAAGTGTGTACAGCTGTGTAAAAGCTTGTAAAATCCCGCCCCTGCTGGCACACTCCTTATTCGTCCCAAATATCTGCCGATCCCATCAAACTGAAGACAACAGATTCAAAGACTCACAATACTGAAAAATTATAGAAGCTGTAACAAACACAATGTTCACTGTTTTCCTCTATGGGTTGAGTGAAAGCTTATTGGACCCCAGCATGAGTCACATGATGTATGGGCCTAGAGTTGGAGCTGATGGAGCTCACAGAGACGGAGAGCTCTGGGCAGGAGCTGATTTAAAAAAAAAAAAAAACTAGCTATGGCCCATCCTGCTGCAGTGCCTCCTCCACTACACTAGGGGCTCCGTCGATCCTTTCCGCTCCAGCATCCACTCGCTAAATAAAATGGCTAATGGTCACGGCGGACGGTCTATAACGCCGACACCCTGACAATGTTGCTTTGCAAGAAGTCAGGCGAGCTGGCTGAGTTTCCGCCCTCGGGTGTGGTCACAGGCGGGGTGGGCATGCTGATGACAGCGGCAGTGATGTAGGATTGCTCTTCTGAATTCAGGGGCACCGTCTCTTCAAACTTGGCATTGAGACTGGAGCGACTGCATTGGAAGAGAGAGGAGGAGAGGGCGGGTAAGAATACAATCCAGCTGATGGGCAAATTCCGCCAGCTGTTGGAGGGAATCATGATAACGTTCCCAGAGTATGCTGGCATTTGTCACAACCAGAGCTTTACAGGATTCCAGCAGCATGAATCACTATGAGAACAACCCAAATACCCAGATATACAGTGAACCTGCGTAAAATACACTACACTTTACATAGTACGCGCTAAACAGGACCTATTATGCATACTACACTATATACTGCATTCTATATGTACACTACACACTATGCTTTACATACTGTATTTTACATATTACGAATACTAAATTCTATACACTGCATTCTAATGCATATTAAATCTGTGCTCTAATATGCATTCTACATTCTCTGTACTACATATAGTATACTATGCATTGTGCACTCAATTCTATATATGCATTCTGAATTATGTATAAGACAATGTAATGCATATATGTTCACTAAATTCTATGCACTATACTTTGCATTCATCATGCATACTAGATACTATGCATTACACACTAACACTATGCATTACACACTGTATTGCATATATTTAGATACTAACTACAAAAGTTCTAAATTCTATGCATATTCCATAATATGCATTATACATGTGCAAACTGCATCGTACTGCATAGTATGCATAATACACTATATGCTACATATGCATTCTAGATTACATGCACTACACACTTTTACTGGATTTTACTTATGTACACTAAATACTATGCACTGAAAATTATGGACTGCATGCATCATTTCACATTTGCATACTAAATAATAATATGCACTACATTCTGCATATTATGTATTCCACATATGCATACTAAATCTATGCTCTACTATGCAGTGTATAGAATTCTTTGTACTACATATTGCAGTGGTTCTCAATTCCAGTCCTGGCGACCCACCGCTCTGCATATTTTGCATGTCTCTCTTATTTAACACACCTGATTTAGATCATCAGCTCGTAAGAAGAGAGCTCCATGCATGAACTGTGTTCCGATTGACAGGGTCCCTACACAGCTCCCTACTCCCCGAGCACAAGAAATCCGTTGAAGTTTACTTCGCTTTGGAACATTCATTCACGGATTTGCGCTATGCCACAACCTGCAGCGTCTTCACACACAGATGAAACTTACTAGAGACGTTTGACATAATACACCTCTGTAAATGCAGTGCGGTGGGTCGTGAGGACTGGAATTGAGAACCACTGACATATTGCATACTACTATACACTTAATTCTACAAATACATTCTCGATTATAAGCACTACATAAACCCCTTCTCCAAACCCTTTCTGGAGAAACTCACCATAGTCAGTATTATTAACACTTCTAAATAAGACACAGCTCTGACTTATATATATTCAGACCACAACCAGTATCAGCATATTCCTTCTCCTTATGTCTGTGTAAGTGTGCATGAGTGTTGTGAGAGCACCTGTTGCTCATTGGTCTCTCTCTGATGTGGATGGTGCTGAGCTCCTGTATACTGCTCCTGCGGCCGCCGGCCAAGTTGGAATTGGTGACATTGAAGCTCTTGCGCTTGTTTCTGCGCGTGCAGCAGGAGGACAGGCCGTGTGGAGAGGAGGACAGCGAGGAGGAACGGGACATGGACGGCTTCGTTAGGGAAACCTCCATACAGTTTGTCTCGTAAGTTTGCTCATCCACAAACTCATGATTCTGAGAGAGAGAAAGAGACGGGAATTATGTATAACTTTAAGGACTGATTTCTGCATTTGATTATTATATTAATGTGGTTACTGATTATTATATTTAAAAAATAATACAAAGTTGTAAAGTTTCAAAATGCATAAACATGAGACGTTGATGCGGTTTTAATTAAACATAATATAATTAATCTATATTAGAACAATGTAATTAATAATATAATGTGTGTATATAGAGTATCATCTGAGGAGTCCTTAAATCCAGATTCACTGTAGCTTTGGCTGTTCCTCAAACAGCCCTGCATCCAGCAGGACTGGAATTTTTCTTTCAAATGTCTCGAGTCTAGTGCCCTAGGAAAGCCAGAGCGGGTCACAGTCTGTTCTCTAGACTGTCATGAGTCTAGCTGGCAGGGGACAACAGTGCCTGTCATTTTCATGCCAGAGTCTGACTAATGAATTCTCTTGAGAGAAAAACTGCACTTATTTGTGGCAAACCCACAAGCACTGAGGTGCAGAAGTCATCTGGCACTGGTTAATGTTAAAGAGTACAGACAAAAAAATAAAAACTTTCACCCTTATTTTTACCTTTGCCAGAGTTCTCAAATGGAGTTTAATTCAAATATGGCACGCAAAAAAGCCATGTTTAGTGTCAGTTATTGTTATGTCATAAGCGATCACATCTTACCAGGTTTTGCAGCTAATAAAGACTCAGGCTGTTCCTCAAACAAAGCTATTTTTAGAAAACGTGGCCTTATTGTTTAAGAAAAACCTGGAAAATTGCACTTGTATACGTGGGGAAAAAAACCATTTAATACTTTTATGGTGCTTTTGCACCATATTCTGACACAATTTTCATTTTTGTGAGAACTATCAATTTAAATACAGTCAATATGGACACCTGACCAGTAGCTACTAAACCTACTGAAGGTAGCTATCGAAGGTACTGAAGAAAACACCTGTATATAATAAGATCAAATAATGCAAAAGCTAAATTATTGAGAACAGCTTCCAGTTATGTGTGAAGTTTTCTCCTGAGGTTCTTACCGTGGTTTTCTCCAAGCAGTGCAGAAGATGGTGATGATGGGTATCAAAAGTGGGGTTGGCCTTACATACCAAAGCTTGGCCAGCCTCTTTTGATGCCTTATTGGAGAAACAGAAAACACTGCTTATCAACCTATCAGCACAGAAAGAAACTGAAAGAAAAGACAAGACAGCAAGGCCCGAATTCTCACAATGATCCAGCAACATTGAGACATTGTTGAAGAATGTTTGGCTAGTTCATTGTGACGACAGCAGGCTCTAGGTTACTGCCACGTCCTGTTCTCTCAACATCACAACCTTGACGGATGGCTCTTGGTTCAAAAACAGTGGACAACAGGAACAAGAGTATTCTGTGTCATTCAATATCTACTGAATTTGTATCCAGGATATACTAAATGATGTTTTATTAACAAAGTTCGGGAGGAGCATGTTCGATAATTAACCTAATTAACAAGATAAGTGGTAAATATACACAACAGACTTACCTCTGTTCATTGACAGTTTTCTAGCATCCCTCCACCACCCCATCTCCTCACTTCTAACTATTCCTATCCCAACCTGGGATGGGGGGAGTACTCTGGGTTTGGGCCAAATTCCGAGCTCGGAGCCCTCCCCTTGGACAGCACGCTAAATACGCATAACCTTTACTCTATTTATTATAAGTGTGAACTTGTGAATTATTGGAAAAGTATGTGGAAAAGTTAAGCGTCTTCTGTATTTGAACCATGATGGCCACCGTATCCAAATTCACTAGAGCCTTTATGAATCAGCATGACGCAGTGACCAGACGACTAGGGCAAGAGTGGACAATCCTGCTTCTGAAATGCCAGTGTCCTGCAAAGTTTAGCCCCAACACATTTGCCTGGAAGTTTCTAGTAATCTTGAAGACCTTGGCTGGTTCCAAAATCAAATAGTCTCTGAGTAGGTATAGTTCTATTGAACAAGCACCACCCCCAACCCAGAACTTTTTGCCTACTGTTTTATGAATATTTCGGAATTGGAACTCTTTTTACATTTTGTTTTCGCCTACTCTATAGTAGGGAAGTATGCGATTTCGGATGCAGCCCTTAATTAGTTGGTTTAGGTGTGTCAGATTGGAGCTAAATTTGACATGATAGTGGCCCCCCAGGAGCAGTATGGAACACCCCCGAACTAAAGCACTGTTTATCGAGAGCCTGCGTATGGTCAACAGGCACTTGATCAACACGCCCCGTGGTCTCTGCCTCACATTAAATCCCGCCTCCCATTCAGATGTTGGCCAATCAATGACATGCAGCTCAGACAGTTTCATTCCTCCATGTGATGTGTTCTGATGATGTCATGAAGACAGAGAGATGGAGAGTGAGCACAGGCCAGTCCGGACAGCAGTGAGAAAATCACTCAAAAATGCATGTTAAAAAATGCATGGAGCACAAGAGTAGTAGTTGTTGGAAAAAGCAGTTAAAACAACAAGTAGACAAGATACAGTAGGTAATAAAGAGATAAAACCCAAAAGCAAAGTAGTTGAGAGATGGAGAAAAGGGTTGCAGTAAAAAATAGGGGGGCCCCGTTGTTACTGGAGCGGATGGCCGTGGCCCCCGCAAGGCCAAGTCGCATGCATTGCACTGCCATTGGACAAGAGGTCACACGATTATTGTCTCATGACCAGCCACCAGGAAGAGGTGCCGGCGCACCCGGTCTAGAGAGAGAGTTAGAGGAACACCACGGAAGCGTCTGGACCTCGGCCCCCTGGTGGAGAGGCGAACGACCAGGGGGAGAAGAGGGGTCCACATGCACCAGCCCATCATGTCACGTTCCATTAAGAGAGACCCCAGCGACTTGGTTTCCACGGTTACCTCCTCCTCTGCGTCTGCCAGCATCCCATTGCGTTTGTACTGCAAATAAGCATTAGCGCCACCGCTCTTCGTCGCACGAATTCTAGCAAGCCTGGTTTTCTGTTCAAGTGGACAAACACGGGTGTTTAGCCTAATACTTCCTCTTCCTGTGGTCAATGTGTGTGTGTAATCGTGGTGTGACCGGAGGTCTGCATGCTCATGTCTCGTGGTCAATTTGTGTGTGAATGTGATCGTTGGTTGACTGGAGGTTACATGCTCATGTCCAACATGAAGAATGGTAATGTGTCATTTGTTCCCTTTAGAGACGTCAAAAGTACTTTGATACTAAAATTAAAAAAAATCTATAATGTGGGTGGGTTTATATTGCAAAAAGTTGATATTTTGACACCATATCTAAAATATAAAAAAATAAAAATAATAATATAAAAACAAAAGAATACAAAAAAACTAATGAAATAGTTTTTATTCAGCAAGGATGCATTAAACTGACCAAAAGTAACAGAAAATAAATGTATAATGTCACAAAAGATTTCTATTTCCAATAAGAGCTTATTCTTTTGAACTTTCTATTTATCAAAGAATCCTGAAAAAAAATTATCATGGTTTCCACAAAAATATTAAGTTTTCAAAACTGATAATAAGAAATGTTTCTTGAGCACCAAATCAGCATATCAGAATGATTTCTGAAGGATCGTGTGACACTGAACACTGGAGTAATGGATAATGAAAATACAGATTTGGAATAAATTAAATTTATAATGTACAAAAATAGAAAACAGTTATTTTCAATTGTAATAATATTTCACAATATTACTGTTTTTACTGTATTTTTGATCAAATAAATGCAGCCTTGGTGAGAAAAAGAGGCTTCTTCAAAAAACAAACAAACAAACAAACATAAAACATCATAGGTTGTTCTCTTTATATCTCCAGATAAATTGTATCATAAAATTTCAGTGGTACTAGTATCGACAACTTAAATTTGGGTATTGTTACAATCCTAACGTCCTTTCTCACTTCTCCCTCTCCTACTCTCGTTCTCAGTCCCTAGTTAACTTAAAAAACAGACTGTTGTTCTTGGGTGGACTGGTTGTACTGTTTATCTGCGTGTGTGTGTGTGTGTGTGTGTGTGTGTGTGTGCGCGTGCACAGGGGGAGTGGGATATCTGAACTGTTTGTGTCTCCCATGGGGTAGCTGGAGTCGAATAGCTAAATTAAGAGAAGACACTCATCTAATGAGATATGATGTGATGTCACTACGTCTGTATATTCCGATCACCCCCAAAGGAGAACCGGCTACAGGACACAGCATCTGTTCTTCCTGTGCCTGGTCTCATTGGCCACGTACACACTGCAGCTAAATACAGTCGTGACTCCTCTTATTAGTGCTTAATCTCATTCTGTACACAGAGTTCCATCATTTAAGTTTGATGATGACCAAATAATTGCATAGTATGTACAAAACTGGTTTAAACGACTTAAGAGCATAAACAGTTGAGTGTGGTTTAGTAAACACTGACAGATGTTGCTAACCTTCGCTCTCAAGAAAAGGTTTAAACAACTATGTCAATCACCATTTTCCATCCGGACATTAAATGATGATTTATGACAGATGTAATGACAGATCACAACACTCCTGCCATAATAAATTCAGATGTCTAAACCGCAGGCTAATGCATCGACTATAAATGTAGTGTGTGCGTGTGGACAGCTTCATTGATTATGGCAGTCACTGTGCAGATGGGCTGTAAAACTTACATTTCAATTTAATTGCGAAAGTAATCAGATTAATTGAGGTTTCGGAGTTAATTGAATCGTTTCTTTTAAATAATCCTGAAGCTAAGCATCAGGATATGCAAATTCCATCATTACTGATTGGAGCGGAGTGGCATACCACTTGCTGCCTATTCAAACATCAAAGTCACGATAAGAGCAAACCCAATGAAACTTATTTTGTTCACTGGTCCCTGGCATAAAAAAAAATGAGGACATATACTTGGGCTTTTAAAGGAATAATTCACTCAATAATATCCAGGAGAGAAATATGCACAGGTCAAGACCCGTTTACTGTCCAAAATGGGTTTAAACAAATATATCAGTGGATTTTGATGGGCAGCAGATGGACTTTTTCAAGGTACAAAGTGTTGTTATGGATTATGGATTGGTATTTTGGCCAGAAGCAACGGTTTGAAGTAAAAATGCCTTAATGATGGATTTGTTTCTTACAAACACACAGCTTTTCACTTCACAAGATGTTAATTGATGGACTGGAGCCACATGGATTACTTGTGGATTATTGTGATGTTTTTATCAGCTGTTTGGACTCTCTTTCTGATGGCACCCATTCACTGCAGAGGATCCATTGGTGAGCAAGTGAATTTCTCCAAATCTGTTCCAATGAAGGAACAAATTCATCTACATCTTGGATGGCCTGATAGTGAGTACATTTTCAGCTAATTTTCATTTTTGAGTGAACTATTCCTTTAAATACACCCAAAACTTTGCAGTGTGTATGTGGCCGTTTTCTCTTTTGCTCTTTTCGGACATCTTTTTTTATATCTGCCGTTGTCAAAGTTTCTCTGCCTGTGTGTCTTGTTTCTCTGTGTTTGTGTTTTTGTCTGCTGTGCTGAAGTACGGGATGTGATCTGGGCATGCACTAGAAATGATGGTTCCACAGAGACCTGCAGTTAACATACCACAGAGACACACACACCACTCAGCGTGCAGACATCTGGGTCACAAGCACATTGTGCCAAGTTGTATTAAACACTATCCCAGCGTCATTTTTCTGTGTTTGTGTGTACACGGTTCTGCCAGGGTCTAATCTCTTAGCCACAGCCAGACCGGCTTGTATTTGAAGAGAACATCTACATTTGAGCCCAGCTCCGTATAACTCTGTGAGATCAGAGGCCGTGGACCCATGCTGGGGTCGTGGGAGGCCCGTCTAGGGTACCTTTTGGGCACGACGCTTCTCTGCGCGCTGACTCTGATGGTAGATCCGACTGAAATTGGACACAATGACGGGAACTGGAAGAGCGATCACCAACACGCCACTCAAAGAACAAATAGAGCCGAAGATCTTTCCCATGATGGTCTTAGGAACCATGTCTCCATATCTGTAACACATAAAAAAGAACATAGATATGGGTCAGTGGCAACAGTTCAGTGACAAATCAAACAATGAAAACCAGAAATCATGAATACCAGTCTATACAACTTTTTTTTTTTTTTTTTTTTTTTTTTTTTTTTTTTTTTTTTTTTTTTTTTTTTTTTTTTTTTTTCAAAAATATACATATTTTTCATTTTCTTTATTCTTTAAACCTTTTTTTCCAAAACAACTTATCATTAAAGGTTACAATATCTGATCTTTAAAAAAAATACACTGCCAGCGATGGTGTACATGGGTTAAATCAGTGATATTTTCAGTTTTATTGATTGGTTGATTGATGATTGTCAGATGACAACTAAATTTTAATTTCAGTTTTTCCAAATATACTGTATTTTCTTCCCTGCATATTTTTTAAAAATAATTTATTGAAAGATTATACCAGAGATTATAAACAATTATAAAAGTTTTTTCTTCAAGACTTTAAGACTTTTCTTCAAGGCCTTTTCAGCCTTATTTCAAATCCCCTAAAAAAAACCTATTTAATTTTATTAAAAATAATTTAAAATGTTCATCATAGAATAAGTGTATTCAAGTGCTTTATAATGGAGTTTTGAATTGTATAATAGTTCCAGGCAAAAAAAATGCCATGTCATTGACCCTGAAATTGCAGAAATAAAACAAGCAGGTTTTAATTATTGCTTCTGTCAGCAACACACTTCTTCATTTTTACCAGCTCAGCATGATACCAGATGGCAGCACTAGGGGGCACTAGAGAATCATATAGCATGGGGCAAACATTCACTCTCCAATTCTATGAAAAGCTCTTTTTTTTCTGTATTTGACCCCAGGCTTTTTTCCTCATAAAGCCTTAACATCCTCAAACTTTTAACTTGATGTTAAAAAATTACTGCTCACACGTGGTGGGAAGTGTTGCATGTATGTGTGGGCTGAGTTTCATACTACCAGATGAAGTTCTCTGACCTACTTTCCCAACTCTGAATATATGATTACATTAAAATAATAACCATTACAATGATCCAAAGCACTCATATTCCACACAATGTCATCCTAAAATGGCATTCATGTGAACATGCTGTCTTGGGAACACACCGTACTGGCACAATTTCATTCTTGTTCCAACAAACACACACTCCCCTTCTGTTGTACCACCTCCTCTTCATCTTTTTAAAGCAGGCCAACGCGTGACAAACCAACTCCGTCACTGGTATTCAGGAGACGATCTGTCATCAGTCAACAGAATGAAGATAACACCATCCTGGTTTATCTCATCAGTCCAAAAGCTGTCATTACAATGACACCACTTTAACATTTTGATGGTGATGTTTACTAGTTGCACTTATACCATGATATTACCATGTTTTTGGACATGTATCAAACTACTTTATTCTTTAAAGGACATATATTCATTTATAGGATGCTTTTATCTGAAGTGACTAACAAATGAGGAATAGCGCAAGCAAGTAGCATGTAAATGCATACAAATATCGGTAGGCCTAAATGTCAAAACACCTCCAATTTTTGCTGTAATCACAGATTTTCCATCACAATGGTTTTACTATGACTGGAATTTTAACACCTGCATTGATATAAAATGTTTCAGGGCATCACCATGAGCCAAGACTTCCATCTTTCAAGTGTTGAAGAATCAGGTCTGACTATTTGCCCTCAAAAAGCATTGTGACTACATTAGCTACACCTTACCTGAATTTAAAACAGTTCAGAGTCACCCAGCAAGCATGCATACATATTCACATTCTCATCTGGAATACACTGTGCTTTATTTTAAGTAGCTGACATTTTATATTTGTGTACAAACAACAGTGAAAATATCTTAAAGGCATAGTTCACCCAAAAACAGTCATCATTCACTCATCCTCATGTCATTGCAAACCTGTATGACTGTTGGTTGCATTTAATTAGAAATTATGAGTTATAAAGTCATATTGTGAGATATAAATTTGAATTTGTGACATAAAAAGTTGCTATTACTAGAATAATGTTGCATTTATGAATACTGTAAGAGAAAGTAAAAATAGTGAGATTCTAAGAAATGTTGCAGTTACCAAAAATAGTTGCATTTATGTGATATCAATTCACAATAATGAGAAAGTCTCAAACACAAGAATGCCACAATTAGGAGAAATAATGTCAAAATTGTGAGAGAAATTGCAACTGACATATGTGTGCATATATATATATATTACGGCTGCACGATAAATCGCATGCGATATTTAACGCGCATCTTGTCAGAAAAGCCGGTTCTGTAATCAGCAGTAAATCTCCATCACGTGCGTGCTTTCACATTGAGCAGCATTAACTACACAGAGCAAAACCACGTTCATATTCGCGTGATTTTTTGCGTAGCTCATCAGTGAACAACGGCTCTGTGTAGTTAATGCTGCTCAATGTGAAAGCACGCATGTGATGGAGATTTACCGCTGATTACAGAACCGGCTTTCTGACAAGATGCGCGTTAAATATCGCATGCGATTTATCGTGCAGCCCTAATTGGAGTTATATTAAAAAAATGTCCTGGCTCCCAAGCTTTATAACGGAGAGAGAGAGAGAGAGAGAGAGTCTCTATAAGATTAACCGCCTGACTTGTTTATCCATCACAAACCATGACTGTTTTGTCTATACAATAAAAGTCAATGGGGTCCAAACTGGATTGTTTTGGACCTCATTGACAAAAATTCTTTAAAATATCCCTGTCACTTTAAGATGAATAGAATACAGAATAGACATCATGGATATATATGTATGTGCGCAGTGTTTTTAACACAATTGAGCTGCACATTTATTTCCACCTGCACACATCTCTTCTCAAAGGACATATGCAATGATTTAAAAGAATTAAAAAATAAATAAATTAGAATTGTGCATTTCTGAAAGCGGAGAATAGTGTGCCATGATGATGCTGAGAGGCTTCCGTGCTCTAAGTGAAGGATCTAATTGAATTATGGCGATGAGAATATGAGCTCAAGGGGCCCGACGCGACAAAAGCCTCAAAAGACTGAGCCATAATTACAGACGGCACCGAGTCGACTTCTCCAGTTAAACGCCTGTAATTAAATATGCCAGCGAGAGAGAAAGGGAGAAAGACAAGACATGCAAAGAGTTAAGAGGCTCTCGTTTCTGCTTTGTACCGTGGTCGACACTATGAACGGCACTGACCCAGTCATTCAGAGCCCTGAAAAATATCCATATTAATGGTTACATGAGCTATAGCGGTGTTCATGACTGATCAATTGAGAGCTTTGTGATTCCCTGCACCGACAGACAATAGACTCATTATAAGAAACCAATAAAATCCCTTGTAGGCAATTACTCTCATAATTAGATTTGTGTACATGATGAATATGTTGGCCACTAGCTACTAATCCAAATCCACACACTAAGCTGTTATTTGCAAAGTGTGTGTGTGCTCTCGCTGGAGCGTCACATTGCTCCACGGCCAGCCTGTACGCAATAAAAGACATTGACCTTGCACTGTCAGGTGTGTGTGTGTGTGTGTGTGTGTGTGTGTGTGTGTGTGAAGCAAACTAGAGGGGACAGCAAGGAATTTGCTCTCTGTGTTTGTCATTTCTTTGCTGCTCACTGTCCAGTACTGTTACGTATGACAGCATCCCTATTAACCCAGCCGACCTGCACTGGCAATCCTTGCACACACAGAAAACGGAGCAAATTATTGCAGTTTAGATCATCACAAGCACCTTTACTGCAGCCCAATATATATGGCAATCACAAGCACACACATATGCATCCATCTCTCCTCTTATGCATCTGTCCTCTTCTGAGGACAGTTTTGTCCTCAAACTATAGCTAATTAAACTCACACTGCTTCTGCAAGAAACTTTGAGAGCACCTTGAAGGACACAGTACAATTACGATCCAATCAGCTGGCAAAGGAAAAGGGGTCATCAAATGACACCCACTGTCTGTAAGTAAACAGCTGTAAAAGCATGCACACCCAAACACAGTCTTACATATTACAGGGGGTGGACGAAATCCAGTGAGAGAGACAGAGAGAATGAAAGAAAGACTCATAATATGACAATGAAAGCAGTAAAGCCCTCTATTTTTTTTCTTCCACACTTTCTTTATGAGTCCATATCTACACTCTTCGGCTCTAGCATTATGTGAAATGAGAGGAGAAGGAAGGATGGACGGAAAGAGACAGTGAGATTAAAAAATACAGAGCTCATTGACTTAATAGCTCTTGCTTCATGAAGCTCTGGACTGATTGGAGATGAAATATGCTTATCAAGTTGAATATGGCGCTCAGAGTATTGAGAGAATGAGTTAATGACGAGAGTGTTTTGATTTAACTAAACTTGCATGGGCTCTAACTCTTATTCACAGTCACATATGATAAAAAAACAATCACTCTCCATGTTTTATTGTCCTGTAGTGTTTGTACTGTATTTAGCACTAAAATTACAATCACAATTCACACACTGACACAAACTGAAACTTGCAATTTGAAACAAACTTTTCAAAGGTTTGCATTTTCAGGCCCCACAAAACGCCATTGTCGTGTAAATGAACTGCCACAACAGTGATGTGTAAACACCCACTTAATCTAGACTGCTGGGCATTATCACGAAAGCTTATCATTTGCACGTGTTTTTAAGCCTTACCAATTTAAACATTCAAGAGATTTTAAAGCATTCAAGCACAAGACACGAAATAACTCAAGACACGAAGACATGAAAGAACTGAATACCTGCTGTGTTTGGTACGCACACAGAAAGCCGCGTTTCAGACACCGAATCGCAAACACCGAATTGAGTTCTCTTTCACGTTTTGTGCTTGAACAAACAAATACACCTCACCAATTCAAACATTCAAGCACAAAAAGACGTGAAAGAGCTTAATTCAGCACCTGCGTGCTGTGTTCTGTGCACACAGCGCTCACGCAGAGAGCTGCATCTCACAGCCCATGAACACCAAATTGAATTTTGCCTCTGCTTGCACTTGAATGGA